ACCCTTCACATTTGGCATCATCGTGTTTGTAGACACAGGAGGAAGTGGTGTTGTCGGTGTCGTTGCTGTGATTGATTCCTCATTACTGGTTGTATTGAGAGTGACGGAGGTCGTGTTTTCGGCTTTAGTGGTCTCACCTGTACCAGTGGTTGATGGAGAGTCCTGTGTAGAGTGTGTTTGTTCCTTCGTGGCACTGTTTTCATGACTCTCCGAATTACTTGTACTGGTTTCAATAGAAGAAGTAGAGGTTGATGTATTTTGAGGTCTATCCTTTATATCGCTTTCGTTGCTCTGCGTGTTTTCACCTTGGAGTTTGTCGTTTTGGTTACTAGTATCTTGTGCGGGACCACCACTCTCACTCTGCTTAGATAAGGTTTCTTCACCTTTTGTTGGGCCACCAGCACGTGGTGCAGAAGAAACAACAGACGAAGAAGAACTTGGGGCGGTTTCAGATAATATTTGTGTTTGAATTCCCTGAAGGTTTTCAGTAGGATCATCTATCTTACCCACCGCAGAATGTTGACGTTCCTTAGTTATTTCTTTCTCCCTCGCCTCTTTTCCCGGCCCTTCCGCAGCCTTCAATTGCTCTTTCTGCTGTCCATCACCGGGTTTACCACCAGAAGAGCCATTCTGTTTACCACTAGGACCTGGATCCTCTTTCAACGCTTGTACGCTTTCCTTAAGTGGGTCCGGTAAATCTTTATGAGCATTAGGGATTTCCTTTGCTGGATCTCTATTTTCTACACGAGGATGAGAATCAGGAGGACCAAAATTAACCTCCAGAAATTCCGGATCGCTACTGTCAACGCGAGGAAGACCACCATCACCAGAAGGACCAACTGCAGCAGGTGGAATCTCTCCAGACACAGAACATAAAGAGGCAATACTGAGAAGCAAAGCCAATAAATACAACAGACGGCGTGGTAACATCATCACAACAGATTTCCCTGTTGTGCTCTTGTGTGGTTGAACTGAGCAAATGAAAAAAAAGATTATATAGCAAATATAAACAGAAAATAAAAAGAAACACAGACAAAGAAAGACTAGTGAAAAAAACACAACAACAAGCATCACTCAGCTACAATAATACTTGAAACAACAATAAACTCTACTAGTNCTCTGCTTAGATAAGGTTTCTTCACCTTTTGTTGGGCCACCAGCACGTGGTGCAGAAGAAACAACAGACGAAGAAGAACTTGGGGCGGTTTCAGATAATTGTTGTGTTTGAATTCCCTGAAGTTTTCCAGTAGGATCATCTATCTTACCCACCGCAGAATGTTGATGTTCCTTAGTTATTTCTCTCTCACTCGCCTCTTTTTGCGGCCCTTCCGCAGCCTTCAATTGCTCTTTATGGCCTTTATCACCGGGTTTACCACCAGAAGGGCCATTCTGGTTACCACTAGGACTAGGATCCTCTTCCAACGCTTGTGCCCTTTCCTGAGGCGGTTGTGGTATACCATTATGAGCATTAGGGATTATGTTTGCTGGTTCTCTATTTTTACGCCTATAATTAGCAATACCAAAATTAACCACCAGATATTCCGGATCACCAGAAGGACCAACTGCAGCAGGTGGAATCTCTTCAGACACAGAACATAAAGAGGCAATACTGAGAAGCAAAGCCAATAAATACAACAGACGGTGTGGTAACATCATAACAACAGATTTCCCTGTTGTGCTCTTGTGTGGTTAAACTGAGCAAAGGAAAAAAAAACTATACAGCCAATATAAACAGAAAATAAAAAGAAACACAAACAAAGAAAGACTAGTGAAAAAAACAACAACAACAACAAGCATCAGTCAGATACAATAATACTTGCAACAACAATAAACTCATCTAGTCTTCAAATTAAAGGAACGAAACCCATAGTAACCAATAAAAAAAAAGATAATCCTAGTTAACCCCACAAAAGAAAAAAAAAGAAATTAAAGAGAACGACCATCAGAAGCAAAAAGCACAGAAATACATAACAGTGCTTCTGTCGTTCACAAATATGCAAATAAGAATATATGTTTATGTATGTTATTATTATTTCTCTGCAGATAGCAATACAAAGTAACAGTAAACGGAGAAGCACACAACGCCCAAACAAAGAAAGCAAAAAAAAAAAAACAGAAATTAAGAACAACACCAACCGCAAAGAAATAACTTGCTGACCACTGGGTATGCTGGTCTGTTCAAGCAATTAAGAATACCAATTGTATTAATTACTATTTTGTTCTCTTTGTTCTGCATAAAGCAGACTACCAAAACCGTGAAGGTCAAAACACACAAAAACCCAGCAAAAAACAAGGAAAAAACAAACAGATATTAACTATTAGCCCAATTTACCCAGTAAACACAAAGAAATACACCAACTATGGGTGTAAGTCTATATGTGTGTATATACGCAATTACAAATATAAATTCATCTGTTATTATTATTTCCTTTTTCCCTCACTGCAAAAAGCAATTCATCATCATAATCATCACAGTGCAAGCCCAGGTGCACACACAGAGAGAGTCTCCAAGAACACACACACACACACACAATGGAGTAGTAGCAATAATAATAATTATAGGATAAACACAGAGAGCAAAAACACACAAAACACA